GAGCGGGGCGGTGCTGCCGGCGCCGGACGCGGTGCCCAGGTAACGCGGCGGGGCCGGCCGGGCCGGGGTCCTCCTGTCTCTCAGGCAGCGGGAGGGGCGGCGCGGACACCGGGGGTCGTCCCTGAGGTGAGGGGCTCCGGCTGGCTCCTCAGCCGCCGGCCGCTGTCCGAGAGCGTTGGGCGCCTCTCCTCTCGGGACGGCCACCGGTGCTTCCCGGGTGAGCCCTGGGCGCGCAGGGCTGCGAGCGTCCCGCTGCTCCCGGCTGTCGCTTCTGCTTTGCACGGGACGAGCCAGGGTTTGTCCGCTCCTGTTTTGAGGCGCGTAGCTTCCATGCTTGCATATTTAAGAGAAAAAAAAAAAAAAAAAAAGGGAGTTCTACGCATTTAAAAAAAGAAGTTAGGAGTTATCCGTGGCGCTAGCAGTTTCTCAGCTCTGTAACGAAGCCAGGTGTTGGTAATGCTTATTTTTGAGGCAGATGAACAATCGCAGGGTATTATCTCCTCTTCCCGGGAAGGAGGAAGCATTTAAGTAAATCTCCAGACGGAATCTGAAGCAGATCATTACCGAGTTAAGACTGTGGCGTCTACCGTAATCCTGTCTGAGCACAACGTCCTAGAGGCTGTTGACATAAAAAAAAAAAATAAAAATTACCACAAGCTTCTATGGTTTTGTGCCCTGTTCAGTAAAAAAAAAAGGTAGTGTAGTAATTTTGATGCTTCTCTCATCTGGCAGAAGTTTGGAAGAGTGAAAGGGATGGCTTTAGCAGATGCTTCAGTTGGACTATCTTTGGCTTAGCCCGATAGAATGAAACAAAGTGATAACTGGTAAGAAGTGCAGCACTTAAAACTGTGAAGGAAGACAGCATCTTGCCACCTTATAGGGAGAAGCAGTTCTTGGGGCAGAATCTAGTACCTCTAGCTTATTTTTGCTAAATGGATGGAGATGGATATAAGTAACACTTGCAAGCATAGTACAGTGAAAATAAAACCTTTAGAGAAAATGGATAGGAACCTGTCAGCCTCCTTTCTCATTTGAGCTTTGTGGGAGTTTTGCTACTGGAAACTACTAAGACCTTGTTGTGACTTTATTTGCAGTTGTTCTTTCATCCTCTAGTTTTACTACTTCAGAGGTAGACTGGTTTTAACATACTGATCTCATCTTCAAAGCAGAGTGAAAAAATAAAGATAAACACTTTCTGCATTCACTCGGAGATGTATTTGATTCCTGATCTGATTGCTCCAAGCAGGCATTTGGGATGTGAGAGGTTACATTTTCATGATAACTATATGTATCAGTAAGTGTGGAATTTCAAGGAGCAGGTTTAACATGCTGTTACTGCTGAAAAGAGTGGCCCTCTGCACCTCTTTTCCAGCCCTCTGATTGTCCATTTTCATGGCCTCTCGTGTGCAGGTATAAGTGGCTGCGTGGTTGGCTGGATTCATCTGTCAAACCAGTCGGTAATTAGCGCCATACAGAAAATGAACTGATGGAGCTGACTGTGTGTCTGTGCTCATGCTAGTGTATATAACAGGGAGAGGCAGGTCCACCCATTTAGGCAGTGTTATGGATCAAAATCAGTTAAGCTGCTTGTGAAAGTGTTCCCTGAGGCTGCACTTCCCTGGAGAGGTGAGCTGGCCTAGTGTTTGTGGTTTGGGTTGGTTGGTTGGTTTGTTTGTTTTATTTTGGTTTTGTTTTGGTATTTTTTTAGATGAAAGCTGTGCAATACTGTCTGTCTCCTTATTTCATGATATAGCTAATATTCTTAGCCCCCCCCTCCACTCTTTTACAGTAGAAAGATTTTTTATTTTGTTTCCTGAAAAGGTTTACTTTTGGGTGATGACCAAACTGGTGCATGTGGAGGGTTACAAATGAAGAACTGGAGAATTTTTAGAAATTTACCTGTGGTGATTATCATCAATAACTCCACTGGAATCATTGCTAAAACAGATGTTCAGTTTTAGAGAACAAAAGCAGTTTTGCTAAATGTAAAGATGGGACTACTAGCAGTAAGTAAAGAAATTGCATTTAGACACAAAAAACAGCTGGATAAAGAATTGAAACAGATGTAGTAAACAAAAAATTGCTCTCAGTTGTAGTATGAACTGTATTTTAACAGCTGTTTCTGACATCAGAAAGATCTCTGTCCAAAAAGATGATAAAAGATGAGACTATTAGCAAAACTTTATTTACATCAGGGGCATGCAAAGAATTTTTCTGGCATCTAAACAGTTTGGTGAGCTTCACTAAGGCTAAGAACAATTGGCCTGAAAAAAAAATCAGTCTTTTGTTTATTGTATTATTTTGAAGTCTATGTTAGTACAGCACGTAATAGATTTTATTGAGATATTTAGTAGAGAATAAATACTTCTCCTTGTAATGTCCAGAAGTTTTATATAAGCCTTTGTGACATAGTTTAATGGCTTAATTGCGGTGTTAAAATACTACTTTTTGAAAAAGTGCTGAATTTCCAGAACTTGGTGTGGTTTAGTTTTAAATGATTTTTGCACTGTGGCTCCTGCCCCTGTCTTGAACCTGTTCTGCGGTGTACATGTCATGTTGTTTAGAACTCCTTTCATGGAAACATTTCCTTTTAGGTCCCTTATTAAAATTATTAAAGCTGAATCTAACTGCTGTCCTTGTAGAATTTATCTTTACAACTTCTCATAAAGAAGGTAAATTGCCCTTTATTATTCTTTGTTAGAAAAGATAGTGTAAGATTTAATAAGTTACTATATCAAATACTCTAGGTGGTCTTAACAGTACAGTGCTTAAGTTAAATATTGACTTGCTGTATAGGACTTTGGTCTTGTGTAACCCTTGCCAAAGCTGAAGCTGGGAGAAAGGTATTGTGGCAAAGATAATGACAACTTAAAATTACCCCCTACCAAACTGAAGCTAGTCTAGCTGTGCACAGAAGCAGCTAGTGATCACAGATGAGGCTCAGCTTGGTGGCGCTTGTAACCGATTAAATGTAGAATTAATTCCTCTGTTTCTTTCTTGTCTCTGTTGAAGATAAAAATTAATTAAAATACCATTTAAAGAAAGCGTGAAATAAGGATGTAAAAAAATGTTAGTGTTTTTTGCAGTGTAGTCTTTAACTACATAAGCATAAACCTTCCTGTAGAATACTCATGCCCAGTGTTGGTAGTTGCTGCAGTGTGATGTGAGTAGGTAATTACGTTTGTACCTGGGGGGTGGTGACAGTCCCCTGTTTCTCTGTAGATAGTGAAATGACTAGAATTTGGGGTCTCATTGCTGGTGCCAAGTCTGGTGGTCCTTTCTAATCTTGCTCTTGCTTATACTTAGACATACCTTTGGCTGGAAGAAATTCTGCGTGCCGGCTGTCAGGATGTCTCGTCTCTGGGACCATGCCTTCCAATGTAGAAGGCTCTTTGTGTTTTATATGCATGTGATCACTTGAAAAAATAAACATTTCTCATTCTTGCAAAGATTCACTTTCAAATATCAACTAAGTGTAACTGGTTTAGTATTTCCAGCCTGTTCCATGCCTCTTTCCTTGCTGTTCTGGGCTTTCTTACAAAGGTCTAAAATCTGGTTGCTAAACTGCATTGAAAATAGAAGAATTTCTCTGGAACTGATGAGATAAATTTTTTTCCTTGGTGATGTGGTATGTATCATTCTTGAATGCTTTGCTGTGGGGAATAGGAGTTTCAAGCTAATCAGGAGGTTGTTAGCAAAAAAAAAAAAAAAGTCAGTCATCTAAGGTGCTTTAGGTGAAGGAATTTCTGCATCCTTTAATAGTAAGATATTTTGAGCTGTTTATGTGTGGGTGAGGGAATAAGTTATTTTATGTCTTTGGTAAGTCTGGTTTACTGTTAGAATCTAGTTCTAGGAAGATTTTTCTCCTATGTTATTGGAAGAAGGTTGGGTATGTCATGTCAACTTCGCTACAAACTGAGGTTTCGATAGAAGAAACAATTTGTTTTAGATGGAAGATTGGGTTGATAAATCCTGCCTTTTTACTAATTCATTTTGAAAACGTTTGTCTAACTGTGATGGGCATGAATTGCTCCTTGCTCACTCTCTGGATATTCTGGAACGTGCATTTATAGAGCTGTCTGTGAAGAGCCTGTGGAGTAAAAGGTGGTTCAGACTTTTAGCATTCCTGTCAACTTTTTCCACTTTGTGAATTTAATGTTGTAGTGTGATTCATTTTCAGGTATGTTTCAGAGATGCATGGATGTTTGGTGTGACTGAGATCAAGATTTAGGCTAAACTCCAGATGGCGGTCAGAGGATTACTTTGAGAGCTAATTACGAGTGTTCTTTGTATAAGTCTGAATAGTTACATCACAAAGATTTTTCTTTAATGATTCATCGGGCAATTTAGTGGGGAAAAAACCCTCAACTTTTTAACTTTCTGATGAAGCGTGTTTTTCCTTAGCCCAGCTGGCTCATATTGAGCTGTACCCCCGTACTTGCAGGCTATTTTAATGGGTATTAATTTCCTGACTCTGAAAATGAGATCTATGATATCTTTGAAGTCTGGATATCTCTTTTTCTCTGCATGTGTGGCCTCCATTTCTCCTTGCATCCATCTACTGAGTAAGCGTACTGCTGTGTTGTGAGCTGTGAACAAATATCTCTGCCCATGGTTTATTCAGGTGTAGACTTCGTTGAGTTAGTGAATGCTATTTTTGGAGTTCCCTCAGGGAGAAGGTGGTCAGCCTATCTAACCTCAGAGCTGAGCAGAGGGGAGTGTAGCAATGTCAGCTTTGGTGTCACTGTGCTGGATCAGCTGTTGGTGGTGGTTCTGTCAGAGATGATCCTGTCTTCTGCAAAGGGGTGTTAGCGGGGTCATCCAGCAGCAAGTTGGTGAGAAAACACTCATTTTACTCGGTTGGTTTGATATTGTTGCCAGGAAACACCTTGTCCACATTTCAGAGACTTGTGAGTTATGGCTGCTCCTACCTTAGCTGAACAGATTTGCCCTACGACTCATAGATAAAGGTCAATGCTCTTGACATCTGCAGCTCCGGGTCACTGTGCCAGTCTATCTTGTCCAGTTGCATTGTCACTGTCTTATTTGGTGTCTGGTGCTGCAGCCACTACAGTTTTGGCCTTTGGTCTGTGACAGGATGGCTTAGGGCTAAAGGCGATGAAGTTTCCTCTCAATTATATCCCTCCCTATTTCTGGACTACTTGGGTGCCCCTCGAAGACTGGTGCTGTTGTATCCTGTGCTGCTGCTGGCTTCAGATCAGCCAAACACCTGAATGTTGGTGGAGGTGGAGAAAACATAGTGCTGGGGTCTCATGCTGATGGTGCCATGCACCTCAGCAGGTAGCAAATCGATTTCTGAGTTTTCCTTCACATCATTTGTTTTCTACCGGTTTTCCTTATAACAACCTGAATGCTAAAGTTTGCAGTGTTGCTCGGTGGCATTAGGACGCCCCTTTGGGAATGAGAATTTTTAAAAATTGCTTTAGTCATAGGGTTGGTGGGAGGACTTCTCTCTCTTCATATCTTCCTAAGTAAAGGTTAGTATGTCATATAGCTGACACAGAGTGCTTTGACCTTCCTGCTTCACTTACAAATAGAGCGCTCTTTTAATGGGTTATTTACATTCCTCAAGGTACAGTGTCCTGTAGTTTCGATGTACTTGCCTGTCTGTAATGGGAGGAAATACTGGTGCTGGTTAACTGGTTTGATATGCTCTCATGATTAGAGACCTCCTGCAGGTGGTCTCTGGGCAGAGATTGAACAAATGTGCTGGCTGTAAGCTACAAGTATTATTTTTGTGTTCAATCATCCATTGCCTCTTCCTGGGGGCAAGAGCTCTGGGGAGAGATAAGCTAAATTGTTGATGGGTGCTGTTCAGTGCAGTCAAGTTCAGGAGCTCAGTAAGCTGACCAGGTAGGCAGTCGACTGAGGAGATACCTGTATAGAAGCTTCCTAGTCCTCAGAGCCATAGGGGATATTTGCAGAGTCTTTTTTTTCCCCCTGTGTCTAGGGCCAGAATGCTCAAGTTGCAACAGAAAGAGTCATCACGATGTCCCTAAGAGATGAAAGGATTTGTACAGGCTTTCCTTTGCTTTGTCAGGGAACAGTTGGGACCTTGGGACCAGCGGCTCGAGCTTGCTGGCGAGCTGGCTGCTTTCCTGTGGTTCCGAACACACTGAAGCAGCAAAGATCATTCCCCAGATTCTGAGTGTGAGATTTGGACAGTGCCCTCTTCAGAAACTGGATTACCATGAAGTTGATTTCTTTGCCTTCATTCTAACAGAAACTGTCAGTTCTCTTTTGAAAAATCTAAATCTAAGCCCAGGCTTCCTGATTCATGAGGTGGGAGGCTATTGTATGTCTGACCCCAAATTGGCTGACACACAAGGTTCTGCAACATGTGATGCCTTGTGTTGCATCAGATGGTGGATGGGTGGTTTTGTTGATTCCCTCCTGGCCAAGGCATCCTCGAACCTTCTGCCTATTTTGTGGGAGGCCCATCTGGTTGCAGGACCAAAACAAAACCCTAATTTCAGACTTGTGTTGCATCACATGGTCTGGGTGCTGGGTAGTTCTTGACACTTACAACAGCCTGCTCTTGTCCAGTACGAGACTGTCATCAGTACCAGGAAAGATGGTAGTAAAGAACCTGCTCGGCCAAATGGCTAGTTTCGCCTCTTTGTGCTCAATGAGTTCAGTGTTTTCTTTGGAGGTCACAGTACTTCATACTCCTTAATTTCTCTTCTTTCCTGCTAAGTCATGCCAGGTGGCTCCCTAAGATTTCATTTCAGTCTTTTTTTCTGAAACCTCATACCTCCAAGGCAGAGGTCTTATACCATACTTGTGTGTTGAGAGAAGACTTTTTTTTTCTCCATAATCAGAGGGTTAAATCTTCCAGACATTCTTTGAAGCTACTACTGAGAGAGCAAGGCTATTTCCAGAGTCACTTGGAGGTGCATTAGAGACTCTTAGGAGTTTGTTTATGCTTTGTGTGATGAGAGAGATATTCCTTGTCCTCCTTTCCCCTGGGCTAGCTCAGATTATGCTGATAGTATTAGTGAAGAACACTTCCAAGACTGATGTCACTCTACAGCAAAAACCTGGAGGTTTGTTGAGATACTCACCAAGCACTGGGACTTTGCAGAGTCAGCCAGGAATGAAACTGCATTTTATGGAGCAAAATGTACTGAGGTTGCTGTTTGCATGGAGGACTCTAATGCTTCTTTTTAGGTAGCTGCGAAAGAGTAACTCCAAGCAGAGCTCTACACACGTTGTGTGTGTGCAAAGTTACTTGAAGTTACAGGAGAGTTGCTTTTAAGTGGCTGGTGGTCTTTAATCTGTATTGTCTGTATGACACTCTACTCCTTCTCTCTTTGTAGTTCTTTCAAACTCCAGCAGCAAGTCAATAAGAACTATGAGTTTGGGATATATGCAAAACCTCTGTACCTGTGAGCCTGCAGAGAGGTGTGATACTTGCCCTGCAGATATGGCCAAAGGGGAAAAAAAATCTTGGGGAGGCTATGCATCTCAAGCAGTCAAGTGTGAAAGTGAAAATGGATAGTATATACTGAGCTGTAATTATTGGGAAGTAGGTGTTTTTTCCTGGACTTCCTGGCTAGTGGGAACCTTGAGAGTGTGACCTGAGTAATGTGAAAGAGATGGAGGGTTTCACTGCCTTGAGTAGTGTTGTAACTTTCACAGACCCTTCCAAAAGGACAGAATATTGATAATAGGAACTGCAGGACATGCTGTGTTGAAATTTTGTCTGCCTAAGTAGCTGCTAGTCAATTCCATTAATGTTTGCATATTTAATAAACTTTTAATGTTGGATTTTAATGAGTTGGCAGTTATCTCTGAACATCCATCAGCAGCAGTCACAGGGTCTAGGTGGCTCTCAAATGCGGATTTTTCTCACTTAGAAGGCATGTGGCCTTTCCATGGGCAGTTAGCACTTGACAGGATATAGCATGCTTTGATTCAGTTTGTACTGATGTACATCAACAATGAATTCTTAATTTGGATGGAGCCCTAGGGTTAAGTTTTCAGGGGAGAAATCTTTTTAAAAAGCTGGATATGAGAGAACATGACCTTCGTTAATTTCGTAACACACCGTTTATCTACTTGGGATGATTCTTGCTAGTGATCTAATTATTTTGGCTGCAAAATGGGCCTCCTAGGGAATTTGTTTCTAATGTGGCATTTGCTCATTTACATTCCCAGTGCTTTTGCTTTGCCTTTTCAGCCTTATTTTCCAAATGTATATCAAACTCCTCAGAATCCCAAGCAGGCTAAGAAGTGCCCTGATTGTGCTGCACACTTGGAACCAAGTGTCTCTAATGAGATTAAGGAAGCTAATATATTATCAAGGGAACCTTGGCAAAATTCAGCAGAAAAGTTCAGTGTTCGTGCTTTTGAGATAAACCTAAATGCAGTAAAATATGCCAGTGTGTAAAATGTAGCAGGCAAGGTAAAAAGGGACTTTTGATAACAGTGTAATTCTCAGTTCTGGCACCAGTATGACTTTAAGTAAGTCACTTCCCCATTGCCAATCTTTAGGATAAATTCTCAGTATGCTACTGTAATGTAGATAGTAAATGTGTAAGCTGTGAGGGTTGCAAGGGTAAAGAAAGAAGCCCTTACTGCTGCCTTTGAGATAAGACAACATAGTAATTCAGTAACTGGACCCATCAGATTGGTTTCAGATGACCTTTCAGTGTGCCTGGTAAAAAGCAGGAAGAAATGTAATGTTTATGTAATGTAGTATCTTTATCTGAGAGCTGTATTTTAAATTGAAGTTCTTTTTATATCTCTAGAATACCAGGTTCTGAGAGGAAGAGCAAAGCGAGTTAACGACAAAAACTGATGGACCATTACATCTTCCAGAATGAGCCTATTCACATTTTTCTACTGGAAACTAACATGTCTTGAAGGTGAGTAGGTTTTGTATGTGACAGATGAGCTGCCCAGTGTCTTGGGCCTTGACCATCAATCTTCCCAAAGGCAGATCTGTCCTCATTTCAGGTTAGTGTGCAACTGCCTTTCTGGGCTGGCACAGCCCATAGAGGCATGCTTGAAAATATGTATTTTGTCATTGGGAGAAATATATAGGAAGTAGGTAATATTTTCCATCATACCAATTAATTGTCATTAATTTGGAAGCTCTTGGAAAAGCTAGAGTGCTTAGTGAAAAAGGCAAACCATTGGGAACATGGGTATTTTTTAGGGAGTGGAGAAAATGCAGGTGTTTTGTTTGCAGTATGAGAAAGTTAAGTTTGTCAGACAAACTTTTGTTTAGTTTGGTGAATGTATTAAATTAGGTAAGGCATTTTCAAGTTCTGTTCCAGTTGTACCTCAAATGGTATTATCAGCGTTCAGAGTAGCTGAAGAAGAGTGCTTGCCATCACAGACAGTAAATTAATTTCACCAAAGTAAGGAACATAATGCTTGAATGAAATTAAATCAGAATTTTATTTTGTAGAGTTTGTGATATCTTTTATGTTATATGTGTACTCAGCCCCTTAGGGCTATAGGCAGTGACCATACAGTATTGTTTTAAAATCCTTTAATAACAGAAACCAAAATGGGAAATGTCACATAAGACCTGCACTCAACATTGAAGTAAAACCAGGATTTCTGAGACAAACAGTTAATGTTTAAAATATCTTGTTTTAGACTTTACTGTCACTTTAATAAATAACATATAAAAGGAAGCCATAAGCCTATGTAAGCTTAGGTTTGCCTGCTTAGCAGCATTAATTCTGATTTTTAATTAGGCTAATAAATTTGCTTTTCTGTTGGTTACTTTATTGATAATGAATATGTCTATTTTTCGGTATAAGCAACCTAATGCCTATGAACTCAAAGCTAATAGAGGAGTGTAAGTGGTGAAAAATAGGTCTAAGTTGTTGTCAATTATCATTCTGTCTGCACAGAAATTGTTCTAAAATGTTCAGCATTGGAGTCAGAGGCCTCTTGTGTGGAAATGCTTTTTGCTGTGAGGAAAAAGGCCTGATAGAAATTCAGCCTACACTGAACTTGGTTTTCCTGTGTTTTTGCATATTTGAAGCTGTGTCTCATTATCCATGTGAGTTACTTAAATATTTGTAGATTTGGTAGTGCTGATGAGGTTGTCATGAGTGTAGCACTTGACAGAGATGGAACGGGATGCAGTGTCAGGGGCCCTTACTACTGGAGGAAGAAAAGACTTGTAGCTGGAGAGAGAAATACTGTTCACGTTCATTTGTGCTATTTGGTCTCTGGTATACTCTGCACAATTCTGCATAAAAGGATGGAAACCTGAAACCTCCAAACAAAAAGATGTTACCAAGTTCTAAAAGGTTCTCTTGTATTGACTAGTTGCCTGTGTTTTGCATGTGTCCTCTTTAGAATCAATAGGATGAGCTGTGGAATGTTTTGGGAAAATGTATGAGTAACTTAATTTATATACATTGGAGCCATTGGGAGTTTGTATGGAAAATTAGTCCTGGAGGAAAATGATTTGCAGTACTGGGTCCATGTTCCTGAATCAGCAGCTTTGTTTCTGAGTAATTTTTCATTAATTGTAAGTGCGTTGCCCTGGGTGTTCCTTACAGCTATGTGTGGAGAAAAGTAATATTGAAGTGCTCAAAGGTACAAACTGAGGACACCTGAATATCTTTTTTTGTGAGCTGGGACAACTGGATTTTGAATTTCTATTGTTATATGTAGTCAGACACTGAGAACTCCTGGAAGACTTTAAATAGGAACTTGCTATTGATGTTTCACACTTTCTACCTAATAATGTGGAAGCTAATCTAATGCTACGGAAAAGTAGGATGTGTTGCAAGAGCCGTAAGTTGAGTGTTTTCCATGTATATGGAAAAAATAACAATTTTTTTCTGTACTGTATTTGCAGTCTAAACATTCAAAAAATGCTGGTAGATCTTGGAGTGCTGTAGTATCTTCTACATTATGTGTTCCTTATATGTAAAGAGGCTGCAAATGGTTATGTATCTGTATAATGATCTTCAGCTGTTTTTTTGGGGGAAGGATATTTTAAGTGCAGTCTGTGAATGCTGCACAAATAACTATCTGTATATTAATCTCCAATATTAAAAAGTTCTTGTGATGTTTGAGTGATTGCAGAAGTCTGTGGTTTAAACTACATACTGTTCATGTGTGGATGAAGGATGTTTTGAAGGTAAAGGTGTTACCTAGGAACCCTTTTGCCCCCAAAATCTGGAAAGTTAGGGAATCTCACTTGGAAATATTTATTCTGCTGTAGTCTGTACTTTTCTGTTGATGTGGATGAATAGAAATACATCTTCTTCCTTTTGCTCTCTTCTTTTTCTTCTACTTTGACATTTTGTGCAAAGTGCAACTTTAATGTGGGGAGAAAGATTGTGCAACAGGGTAAAGAAAGAGGGAGAGTGAAAAGAGGGTATTTTGCTGCTATAAGGCTTCTTTGTTCTTTGAGGTCAGGAAGAGCTGAGCTGCCAGTGATTTCATAAGCTCTTCTATTACCTGTTCACATACTGGTCAGTTAGCCTAAATGGATGGATCTCCCTCTGTATGAGTCTTTAAGTAAATATCAGGCAGTGCTGGTATTCCTGATAACTGTCTGCTCTGAGTACTTGCTCCTATTTCTTGCTTATTGTTGACTTGCTAATTTCTTAGCTGCTATCACAACCCAAGCAGATTTTGTCGGCACAGGGTCTTCTCATGGTGTGCAGCTGTAGAGACACCCCTCTGTTCCAGCCTTGTTAGAGGATATATTTTCAACAGTGGCTGGAAAATATTTGGAGATGTTTCCAGTAAAACAGTTGGTACTGATTCTTGGCTGAGAGCCTCCTCTTGATCAGAGGCAGCATCGTGGTTTGCCAGATGGCCTGCAAGCTGGATCTGGTGCCTGCTCTGATTGCATCCCTCCTGCAGGACAGGGCACCGGAGGAAGTGCATCTCTGGCCTCCCATGGGAGCACCAGAGCACATTGCGTTCAGAACTGTTACTAGAGCAGGAGGTGTCAGCAGTTCATTCCTGCTTGACTGCCTTTAAGGACAGCTAGCTGCTGCAGATAGGGCTTTAGGACTGGAGGTCTGTGAGCTGTGCTTCTCTGGCAGTTGCTGCAGCCGGAGGGTGGCTGAGTAACGATGATATGTTGCTGTCTCCTTGAAGCAGATTACAGATTACATGGGGGACAGGACACTTCAAGTGTTTGTGCTCACTGGGAAGCTGTGCTATGGAGGGAATAGGGCATGTTATCCACTGGCCTACCCAGGTACCATAAGACTGGCTTCCAGTGTGCACACATTCAGATATTGGATAACCACTGGGTTTTGCCGAGGCTCTGGATTTGTGTCCATTTTTCATTTGGATTAGACTGTAGCAGGCTCCTATCCTAAGTGTAAGACCTTGCATATGTGTAGGGGGTCCGTGTAAACTTCTCTTCCTTGCCTGTCTGTCCCTGATACATCATCACTTGTGGCCTTATGGGATTCGAAAATGCCTCAGTGTTTCTGGATTAAATTCTTCTCTCATTGGGAGAAAAATTTGCCACCAATTTAAGCTGAATCTTGATTAAATATGGACAGTTTAAACCTTGGGCAAAGACTCACAAACTGGATGATGCTGCCTAGTCAGAATCAGTTGCCATTCTTACTTTTTCTGGGAGAGTGAATGTTTCCGGTGCTGGATGGCTGAGACCATTTTGGGGGAGCTGTGCAGGCGAGATGAGAGCTGTGGAGAACTGCATAAACTTTTAGATACTCCTTTGCTTTTACTAATACTGTCTTCAGGGCATTCCTTATCCCCTTCTGCCAAGGGGAGCTCTTCCAGCCATCTATAGAGGTGCTTAAAGAAGTCCAGCTAATCATGGGGTTATTTCTTTTTTTCTGGAGATCTTGAGGGTTTCATGTGATAAACTGAAAGCACAATAGATACAACTCAGTTGTGGTACAAGTAGTGTAAGCAGCCTGAGACACACTGAGTTTCCTAGAAGATGACCCATCAGATTCATCCCCACATTAAATTTATAGCTGTTGTCAATGGTACAGCGGTGGATCTGACAGCTTGGTTGCTACATGCATGTAGGCTTTTTTTGATGTTTCATTTGCTGTGTTGGGAGTCATTTGTTTTGCTTCAACTGGATGTGAAATATTACCACTGGGGACTAAGAAGATTCACTTAATGGCAAAGGAGGCTGTACTATCAGCATCAGCCTACGGCTTGCTTTTCTTAGAGCTGTTTTACACAGCCACTGCACTATAATTAACTTTCCATGAACAAAACTTCAGGAATTCCTGATTTGGGACCTTACTGTGCCAGGAGGAGTCTGCAGCCCAGTTTAGTTGGAGAATAAGTGTCCAGACTGAAAGCCACTGCATGCTTTTCTTTTATTAAGATCTGCTATTAAGAAAATAATTTTTGCTAAGCAGAGCATGTTAAGCTGTCATTTAGTTAAGGGAATAAACTGTAAAAACCTTTAATCACATTGGAGGGGAAAAGGAGGTATTGCTTCAGATTCCTGTGGTGTTTTTTCCAGCTTCCTGAGTAAAACAATTCTATTTTTATGGTATATTTTTCCTACATTTAAATATTGTGTGGGTGTATTTTAAAAAAATGTTTGATTACATTATGATCAAGTGTAATGATTAGATACTGATTACTGTGAAAGAAGTACAGCATTCAGTTAATTGTAAGTTTGCCAGGTAGCATTACTTGTCTGAATGTTGCCTTATCACATAAGAAGATATTGTTTCTCAAGCACATTGCACTTGCTATCTTGAAACAGAATTATAGTTCTATTAAAATACCCTTTGCTCAGTGCTCCCAAGTAAAGGAGAAGTTTAGTATTACTGATAAGGTCCACGGGAAACTTTTACTTAGTTCATTTAACACTTGACTTGGTCTCCATTCTCTGGTGCATGAGTGTTGCATTATCTGTTACTTTGAA